TTCAGCCTGATAAGCTGCATCTCTAATTTTTCCCTCCAAACACTCCACAGATTCACTGCTTTTGGAAGAATCCTCAAAAAAATTTAGCAAGAAGCTGATTTTTTTCCTGAAGAGATTCAATTTGTTGCTTGTAATGAAGAATCAAGAATCGATCAGGATGCAGGAGTTGCTCTCGAATCTGATTAAGAGAAACAAGAGCACAAAAACAAAACTGAAACACAACAAAAGCAGTTGGATTTCCTCTAGTTACAATGCCCCTCTTCTCTTTATCTAAATTTTCTTCCTCCTCCCCAATTTTTTCACTTTTGGGATATTGAATTTTGCTGCTGAAATGTATTCCTCTCAAACTCTACGCTGATGGGAAGTGCGTATTATTGGTTTATAAAGAACATTGTGAGGTCAGTTTTGCCATGAATTTGCGAGAGGGTGTGTATTAAAAAATTGGAGTTAATTAAATGAGTGGCACTGAGCATTGTTAATTGGTTTGCTATTTGCACACTAAAAATTAAATGATTATCCAAAGCTTGTCGAAACATTTATTAATTTACCCATCCATCACCATAGCCCTTATCATCCATACAGGTGGACAAATACATTTACGTGAAAAACTGATGTGGCATACATAATGGGTTAATTGTACCACTTCATCAGAAATTTTTTATTTTATAGATAACAAAAAAAATGTTAAATTAAAAAATGTTTCTTCCTTAAATCACTTCTTCTCCCAAATCACGCCATTCCTCCTTAGACTTGGAAGCCAAACAAGGTGCCGCCATGACCACGACTCCACCTCTGAAGCCTCGACGATGATTCAACACACAAAAACCCACTCAAAGTTTAGCAACATTTTATGAATTTTATCAGACCCTAATTTCAATAGCAAATGAAAAAGATTTGATATGGGAATTGGAAAAAGAATTATTGGGGGCTGATGAATTCAGTACAACTCTTGAGAAATTGGTTGAATTGAGAATGAAGGTTCTTCATGAAGCAAATGGTGAGGATTTTAGGATTTGAGAGCCCAATTGGTGTAAAATAATTTAAAATTTTCGTACCCAGTATGGAAGTACCCACTATTGTTCAAGGAGTCTAGCTAAATGGCCGCTCGTTCCCTCTTCCTCACTCTCACTGGATACTGCACCCCCCC